TTTAAAATTCTAAATTGCTCACCAAGAGGGTTTAATTTAAAGGTAGAATTAGGGGCACCTGGGTGGCTCAGTGGGTTAAAGCCTCTGCCTTCAGCTCAGGTCATGATCCCAGGGTCCTGGGATCGAGCCCCGAGTCGGGCTCTCTGCTCCTCGGGGAGCCTGCTTCCTCCTCTCTCTCTCTCTCTCTCTCTCTCTGCCTACTTGTGATCTCTGTCTGTAAAATAAATAAATAAAATCTTTAAAAAAATAAATAAAGGTAGAATTATCTAGAATATTATTTTATGTGCAGAACCATTTCTAAATTTATGACAGGCCAGAAAAAGTCAACAGACTTAGGTAATTAAGTTTCTACCCCAGATAACATAAATGACCTTTTCCAGGGGCAGCTTAAGTATATGGGGAGGGGATAGGGGTCAGTATTCAATGCCAGAAGGGAATTTATTCACCTGGAATCTGGTCAGAGAAGGAAATATCAATCATTTGGGGACCGACAGCTGGGAATTCTGTCCTTAAAATTCCATGGTGGGATTTGTTTTATTGTTCTCAAAAGGCACTGATTCTTTCATTTCACTGAATGTTAACCAGCCTTGCAAAGTTTCATTCCTTCCTTCATTCAGTCATTCAACTAACTGTTAAGCCCCAAGCACTATGTTACCATGTATATAAACACCCTCGTGTCTACTGAAGTTCCAGATCTCCCTGAGAGAGGCTAGCCCACTAGGTATCTTCCTTGCAGAGAGGTCATTTGACAAAATTATTAATCTTTAGGGACAAGCTGATTGTTTTAATACTTCCATTTCATCACACAGTTTCATTACTTCTCTTGATTTGTAGATTCATACTTTATTATATAGAGTGTCAGAACTGGAAAGTCCTCAGAGAACAAACACGATAACCTAGCTTTGTTCAATGAGTTGTTAGTGGCCACTTAGCTAGTTAGTACCCAGAACCAGACCTTCATTTTCATCTCTTAAATTCCAGTGCCAGAGAACTTTACTCTAAATAAAAACTTCCCATCAAAAATGTAATGCACTTTGGGGCATCTGGGTGCCTCAGTCAGTTAAGCATCTGCCTGCCGCTCAAGTCATGATCCCAGGATCCTAGGATCCAGTCCTGCATTGGCGGGGTGAGGGGGGTGTCCCTTGCTCAGCAGGGAGTCCACTTCTCCCTCTCCCTTTGCCCCTCCCAACTGCCTGTGCATGCAGCCTCTCCCTCTCTAACTCTGTCTCTCTCAAATAAATAAGTAAATACTCTTAAAAAAAAATAATGCACTTTACAGACTTATATTTCAGACATTTACCTTATTTTAAGGCAAAACACTCCAAGACACAGAAAGTTAAAAATATTTTTTTCTAGTCTGCTTGATAAGACCTCCCTATAGGACAACAGACCTGCACTTCCCTCCACTACCTTAAAAAAGAAGTACCTATCCCTGGCTCCCTCCCACATAAACCTCCCATGGACTCCTTGTCTGTCCTGCTCATTTTATCCTGTTTTGTAGACCTGAACACTCCTGGAAGCTGGTGATAAAAGCTCAAAAATGTGATTGCTTTTGAGATGATGGAGGAAGAGAAAAAGGAAGACCAATGGAGAGAGGTAAACTTTCTGGGAAATTTAAAGCTACAGGTGAAAATTTTGTAGGGTTTAAAAAATGGTATTTGGGGGGAAATTTTGTCATTTACATACCAAAAGTCATTGTTATTTCAAAAGATAAAATATGTAAGATATGAAGACCTAGTTTTTAAAAAATTGGAAATTTCACAAAATCATTATAGAGAAAGCTTTTCTCCCTCTCTTGTGTTGTGTCTGTTTTCTTTATCTTTGTATGGTCTTTGTATCTTTAGCCCCAAATTCAAGCCACACATTGATAGTTCCTCTCGTTCCCACAGAGAGGCAGCAGAACATGGGGTCCAAGAAATCGTTAGGGCAGCCTCTGGTCTCAGACCATGGAACAATTTCTGATTCACACTGACAGACTCACCACAGGAATGTTATAGCCCTCAGCTGGCATTGCTAGGACCTGGAACTTCACATCCTCCAAACCCAGGCCTTCACTGCTTCTAGTAAACAGTGCTTATTCACACAAGGCTAGTCACTCGACCTGATATTCCTGAGGGGTCCTTCTCCCATCTTTCCCATGGGAGAAAGTAGGAGAATAGTGTCCCAGGTTCTAGGAAGTAATGGGCTGCCTTCCAAGAAAATCCCCCCTCTCAGAAGACACCGAGAGATGGCTGAAAGAGCTCTGGCATCTCAGTGGATACTTGAGTTCTGTCTTGAGCCGCCATGTCCTAGTCATAGGTCCCAGTAAATTGCTGACCATCCCTAAGCATCTTGTCTTCTTAACCGTGAAGGGGAGATAATAATAATGTATATCCTCAGAATTTTGAGGTTTCAATAAGAGGAAATAGTGTGTTGGAAGCCCTATGTTGGTCACAGAGTGCTATAATTATTTCTTATATAAATTAGGAACGAATTGATTTGATTTGATTTGATTTGCTGTGCTTATGCCCTATGCTAACTTGGAAGGATTTAAGTCAATAATTTTCACATTGGAGCCCATTTATTTCAGCTGTGAGAGGATAAATTAAGCCATCTGGAGCATTGCGAAGAGGAGAGTTTACACTTGATCCAGATTTTTCTGGTTGGAAAGTTGATATATGAACCTCAGTTCTATCATACATATGTAGTATATGTAGGCTTTGCTTCCATATAACCAGCATTTCACTTTAACAAATATAATTGATCACATTTTTCATGAGTATATCAAGCAAATTTCCCATTATGGGTAAACAAGGGCTTTCCATTCATAGGTGACAAGAAGATGTTTTTAATCACCCTTCTGCCTCTTTGCTGTGACTTATACAGCTTTGAGAAGCATGAGAAGACTGGAGAATTCTCATGCACTAATTTATCAAATCCAGACACCTTAATCTGCTCAGGACTGCACAGATGGAAAATCTATCTCTGTTAATTTCTTCTTTCTCTAACACAAAAGACCAGGCAGGGGTCACCTCGTTAATAATAGCCATAAGGCATTTAAAGGACTTGTGGTCTGAGGGTGCTAATTTCCCAACTTGCCTTCCTATGGTGGAGGTAATCACAACATCTGACCGGCAAACTCAAGGTTTATTTTTTTAGCCAGGCTTCCTAACCTCCTCAAGTCCCACCCTGCATGGACCTCCTACCCTGATGTCCCACAGATTTGCCTGTCTTCTTCTCTCCCTTAATGCAGAGCTACTGACGGTCCCTTTCACTGGTTCAACACTTTCATACACAAATCTAAGTTTTGTTCCAGAATCTTGCAATCCCTACTTTAGATGGAGGCAGATATCTCAGAGCCCGTTAGCAAAAGTGGCTACATGAGGCAGACAAGGTAAAAATCTACCCACTTGGACCAACTCCAATGAGTTACCAACTCCAATGAGTTGGCAACTCCAATGAGAAATGGCAACCGTTCTGAGGCTTTGGCTTCTATCTAGAAGACAGGAGAGAAGAGTAGGAAAAGATGGAGTTTTCAAGTTATCAGACCAGCATTCAAATACATAAACAACTACTGTGTGACCCCACATAGACAGACAGGGCTCTGACGCATGGGTATGTCATTCCTTCTAAATCCCTGTAGGAAATGAGTGATACAAGAACTAAGAAGGAATGTAAACTATTTCTTAAGGAAGCATGCTAGCATCTCTCTTCTTCCAAGAGTTCCCCTGAATAGAACTTGGGCTCATCCTTTCTCCCTGATTCTTAACTGTACAGGCTCCCTGTTAAAAGGGGAAAGGGAAAGGAAGGATGGTGTGTGGAAGCATGTAGGAGACAGCCACAGAGTCTAGATGAAGCCACACCACTTCCAAGCCCATGGAAGACCCATTTTCTGATGTTGTGAATTTCATCCACTTCTCCTGTGAGGTCCCCGAGAGTCCCCTCCATGTGAAACTTCCACATGTCCCAACAAGAATCTCTACTCTTCTGTCTCATCCCAGCAACACCAACAGACACACTCTTCCTCACCCTCACTGCTGTCACCTATGTATGTGCAAAATAGAGCAAATTGTTCATGCTGTGAAGAAAAGGAAAATAAAAGCATAACATTTTATTTTGCCCACCCATTTTGGTACGCCTGAACTGGGGGGAGAGAGCACCAGCATGATGAGGAGGTGGAGTCAGAGATACAGAGAATAAGACACTATTTTACAAAGAGTCAGCACGGCCATGATTGGGCATATAGCCCTGAAGAGCTGGAAGAGACCCCGAGGATCACACAGACTGACCTACTGCTGCTCCCTTACTGCTGGGAAATGGAGGCTGGCAGGCTGATGCCCAGAGCTACATATCCTCAGTGGGGCAGGGGAGGGTGATGGGAAGTAGATGTGGGCCTTAGAAGGTCAAGCATGTAAAGCTGTGTCTGAGTTCCAAGCTGTACCCCAGTTCTGAAAACCTTCACAAAATCCAGTGAAGCTTCCCCAAAGCCCTCACAGCCTATTCTGGAGAATAGGTTTTGCTTCTGCCCTTTTGTTTTTGGCAGGAAGAGGATTTTTGCCTAGCCACTTCTCAGTGCCCCCATCTGGGACTGGGGATATGGGCCTCTATTCCTCAGGGAGGTTGTGAGGATAAATGGGATATAAGAAAATGTCTAGCATAATGGTTGGCACAGCACAGGACTCAGTAAAGGTCTGCATGCCTCCTTTGCCCTTCCTCTGGCCTTCCCCTAAAAGTATGTACTTCCTCGCCTAACTTTACTTCTCCTATCTTTGGCAGAAATCTCGGGAAATAGTTATTCACTCTCTCCTTCCAAACAAGTTGTTGCTAATGGCAGAGAAGGTGGCAGAACACGGACGAAAGACACAGGCCCAGGCCCGGGGGACTGCGGCTGGTGACTACCTCCGCTACTGAGGTGTACGCCCTCCACTATGGATGGAGGAACTGGGAATCCTCATGGGCTCATCTGTCCCCACGCTCAATTCCTCTTCTAGGGGAACAGCTGGAGCTGTTCACTTTCTTACCTTGAGAGGCAGAGTGGCAGGCGGGGCGGGGTAGCTCTGGCTGGTCTGAATGCGCGGAGAGTATCTGTAGAGCCTTGCTCTTCTGGCTCGCCCTGTGGTGCCCTCTTCACAGCTCTTTGGGAGCACCTGGCAGGTGACGACAGCTGTCTTCAGCGTAACGCTTTCACCCCTGTCAGTAGGGTGAGCCAGGTTGGCCTGTGGAGCTGAACATCCCAAGGCATCCCAAGACCAAGGGTCTGCACTCCGCAGGTCCTGGGGGGCAGAGATGGCTGGCCAGTGCTCCCAGCCCATGGAGGAATCGCTGCTTTCATCACTCATTACGGGATCTGGGCTAGGAAGGCTGCATGACAGGGGCTGTAGTCGTCCAAATTTCCTGGAGGCAGGGGCCAGGGAAGGTCTGTGACGTGGGGATCTGCAAACGCCACCCCTCCTTCCATCCAGATCCTGGGGTTTTTCCTCTCTCTCCTCCTCCGTCAGAGCAGAGCAACGGAAAGCAGCTGGATCCTCAGTCCCAGAGCCCCCCTTCTGCAGCAGGCGCAAGGGAGGAGCAGCCAAGCCCTGTGTGCGCCTGAGGCCCCGGCCTGCCAAGAGGCCAGTCCTGGGACTTGGGAAAATGTGTCCCTCCTCCAGGCCCCCTGGGGCTGCTGTCCAGGCTGCAAGGGCTGGAGAACGGGAGGGGAGAGCTCCAGCAGGGGGGGCCTGCAGCTGGATGAAGAGGAAGGAAGTTCTCATCTGCTGTTGCTCAGGCTGTTCAGCCATTTCCTCCAAGAGGGTAGGGCTGGCTCTTGCCAGCGTCGAGCTTCAGACCTCGGTGCCCAGGGAGGCAAATGTCGGCAGCTGCGGGCAGACGTGACTTGGCCCCATGGTTCCAATGACAGCCTGAGAAAGCAAAGGACACACCTTCAGCTCCCCAGGAGGAGTCTTCAAGGAGCAGGGGTCCTGTTAGCTGTGGGACTGGATTCAGCACTCACTGCACAGAATCACAAAAACAGACTGACTAGTGGAGCTCAGTCTAGGAGTGAGGGCTGGGAGGGAACAGTCAAGACTCTGCCACTCTCACCTTGGTGTGTCTGATGGAATTCCTTTGTCTTAATTAAATGCCCCCTTCCCTATATTTGAAATGAAAACACTGAAGTTACTTGTCTCACTGTTGAATCCTGAATTCCATACTTGCTACACCTGTTCTCGGGTGTCTGACGTGGGAGAGACTCTGTGATTTACAGACGAAGCTTCCAGGACACCTCAAAGTGTCCTTTTAATCTCCCTTGCCTGTACTGATAATGCACACGTGTGAACAACTTTAATGTTTTAACGAATTTCCTCTTTAAATCCTGTGGTTATTTAGGAGTTCCCCAGGAGTCCCATCGTCCCACATCAAAATACTTGACGTCACACACACAAGTAAATAAAAATAAAGAGATAAAGGGAAAAAGAGAGACAGAAAGATTGAAAAAAAGAAAGAAAGAAAATAAGAGAAACAAGCTGGTGACAAACCAGATGCAAGGGGCTTTTGTTCATTTTAAAGAAACACTTTATCCTCTTGTGAGAACCATAGAAATCCACCTGAAAATTCATTGAGTAATTCACTTGCAGGGTGTTACTACAGGCTCAATACCTCTCACAGTGGAAAAGAACATTCTGGGTCCTGTGGCCTTGTCCTTGAGGAGTGAAGAGGGAGGGGGTGGGAAAGGTCTTTTCTTTCTCAATGGTGACTTGACGGAAAGAGACCCAGGATATTATGCTAGGAGACGAACTGAGCCCAGAGCCCAGAAATTTGGCTGCTTGGCAGCACACGAGCCTGAGCTGTCCCTCTCCCCAGCGCCCGGCCGTTACCTTCCTCTGGCATCACCCCTGGAGTAATGCAGGGCCATGGCCCTGGCTGACAACAGCTGGCCAGCGCGGCTTGGGTAGTTCTCAGGATGGGTGCTGGGGTCTCTCCACTTATTTTTATTGTTAAACATCTTCACACAACCTTTACCTCCGAGGTGATGGCAGCTCTGCTCACATTCTCAGACAGCTGACAAAGGACTCAGTGTACAGCAACTGAGAAATGTGCCAGAGCTGTCTAGTGTAGGCATGGGACACCATAACTCCTTTCAACAAACACCATTACAGAGAAATCTTTAGCAAAACAGTGTTCTCCCATCCACTGAAATAATGACATGTTGATCTGATCACACTATTTTCAATAAAAGTCCAGTGTGAGTGTTGGCTGGTGTTCTTATGTAATTTACTCACTCTCCTGTCAAAGTATTTGCTTGGACACTAACCACTCAGCACACATTAGTTTGTTAACTGATTTACTGCTAAGAAGGCCAGGAGCCATGTGTTTGTACAGAACAGGGATTTGGGCGAGAAGAAACCACCATTTTGTTTGAGCCTCTACAGGCGCCAAGCATCCCACAGGTGCTTTGCATACCTTATGTGATTCAAGGCAGAACACAGTCCCATGAGGAGGTGGTCTCACCTTCATCTTGCAGTTGAGGAATGTGCGGCTCAGGGAAGTGAAATGATTGCCAGCTGCCTGTTTCCCACAAGCACAGATGGGCCAGGGCTTTAAAGAGCTGGCAGAGGAGAAGTCTCACTTCAACTCCAACCTCCAAAGAAAACTATGTACAAAAGAGCTATGGTGGTAGTGGTGGTGTGCTCAGGACACTTCTCTCTTACACCTTTTTATTTGTAAGCCTACCTTGGAAGTGACTACAGCCAAATATTTCATTTCTAGGTTGTACAGGCTTGGAATAGCAGATGTTGCTAAAGAGTTGACAGAAAGGCTGGCAGGGGGGCACCTGGGTGGCTCAGCGGGTTAAAACCTCTGCTTTCAGCTCAGGTCATGATCTCAGGGTCCTGGGATTGAGCCCCACATCGGGCTCTCTGCCTGTCAGGGAGCCTGCTTCCTCCTCTCTCTCTCTCTCTGCCTGCCTCTCTGCCTACTTGTGATCTCTGTCAAATAAATGGATAAAAGCTTAAAAAAAAAAAAAGAAAGAAAGGCTGGCAGGACTTACTTGGAGGACACACATAAGACACCTCCCTAGGACACTCAAGTATTTGGGGGCACCTTAAAGGGAGGCTAGAGTTCTGTATGAGAAGTTGGGACAAGTGCCAGAGAAACATGGGTTTCTGCTATGGTGTAAATAGCACTGAGATTGAGAGCATGTGCTTTGGTGCCAGACACATATTTCTCTGAATCTACTGTGTGGCTGTGTGACCTTTAGCAAGTTACTTAAGCTCTCTGGTTATTAGTTTCTTCTCTAAAATGAGGTAACAATACCTACTTTATAGGGTTGCCGAGAGGATTAGGTGGAAGTGTATATAAAGGGCTTAACTAGCATAGCAGCTAGAACATAATGGTCTAACATTTATGTTAGCAACTTTTAGAATTTATAGCTACACACTGCTAGAGAAAACTGGTTGACCCAATGGAATGGTTTGAGCTGTGGCATTAAATGTATGTATTCAGTCACGATGGGCAATCACACACATTTTCATACTTCTCATGTGATCGGTAAGCATTTTTTAAAATTCATTCATTTAATCTTTTTTTTAAATGTTTTTATTTTTTATTAACATATAATGTATCATTAGCCCCAGGTGTACAAGTCTGTGAATCGCCAGGTTTACACACTTCACAGCACTCACCATAGCACATACCTTCCCCAATGTCCATAACCCAACCCTCCTCTTCCTGCCCCCTCCCCCCAGCAACCCTCAGTTTGTTTTGTGAGATTGAGTCTCTTATGGTTTGTCTCCCTCCCGATCCCATCTTGTTTCATTTATTCCTTTCCTACCTCCCAAACCCCCCACGTTGTCTCTCAACTTCCTCATATCAGGGAGATCATATGATAATTGTCTTTCTCTGATTGACTTATTTCGCTCAGCACAATAGATGGGTAAGCATTTAAGAGCTAAGAAATTAGTTGGGATGAGGGAAGAGTCTGCAGTGAATTGGAGCCTGGACACTTGTGCTTGAGTCCTGGTGTGATCATTTATTAGCTATGACTCACTGCAAGTTTCTGAACTTCAGGGCATTTACCTGAGCAAAATAAATTTCTGTCTTTCCTGACTTACAGATTTATTTTGAAGGTCAAATGGGATAATCTATGTAAGAATATATTAGGTCTTTAAGTCAGCATGGATTTTGCTATAATAATATCACCAATCACTCTAAGTCATTGTCTCTGATTTCTCTGAAGACTCAAGGTTTCTTTGTCTGAAAGGATTCTAGGTTGACTCCTAACACCACTGTACCTTCAAGAGTCATAAGGTGTGATTGCAAACAACAGAGAACTTAAATTATAGTCTATTTCCGGTAGTGATTTCTTCTCATTACATTTAGAGAGAAAAAGAACATTCTAGAATTTTAACAAGGGTGAAGTAGGGAGTAGGCACTGGGAAGGGAGATCAGAGTACTTGCTTCTCTCACTCAAGCATTATGACAACTTTAGGAAGTAGACAGCATGATTCCCCTATTAGAAACAGAGAAAAGGGGCATTTGAGTAACTCAGTGAGTTGTGTCTGCCTTGGGCTCGGGTCATGACCCCCTCTTACGATTAAGCCCCACGTCAGCGGCTCCCTGGTCAGTGGGGTGTCTGCTATTCCCTCTCCCTCTGCCCCTCCCCTCTGCTCTTGCTTTCTCCCTCTCTCTCAAATAAACAAATAAAATAAAATTGAAAAAGAAATGCAGAAAAGAGAAAATAAGGGAAATGAAGTCACTTGCTTAGAGCAACATGGTTTGAGAGGGCAGGAATTTGAGATTTTCATCCAGGTCTGGCTCTTTCCCCTCACAAGGATGGGTGGACCCAATCAACGTAGCTTGTTCAGCCTATCTGTACTTCCCATCTCCAAAGCCTGGATTCCCAGGAAAGACCTATTCACCACACATGTGTTACATTTGCTGATGAGGGAACCTCTCTAAATGTTGCCTGGTATTTTTAAGAGCTTAAATGATTCAAGATTATACAAAATGGTACAATCAAGATCTGTTGTCTGAGTTGAAGATAAGTAATTCTCCCAGGAGTGGTGATTCTAGAGAATGAGTGTTACAGGTGCACATTCCAGGGAATCCCAAGGATTCCTGGAAACATTCTATTCAGAGTTTAAGTCAAAGGAGTCACAACCTGCCTCTCCACAGTCATTCATTCTCACAGAAGGTGGCATCCACAGTGGTCCACCCTTGGCAATTAAACTGGGAAACTTCTGGGGTCACTGTGTCCAATGTGCTTGTGACCTGTTGGTCATCCGCAGCCTGACAGGAAGGAAAGAAGTTAGTAGCTAGAGCCTCTCCTGTTATATGTATTTGGAAAATGCATTCTGGAGTCAAGAAAGAATGAGAAACAGGGCAGAGGTAAGGGTGGGGTATGAGACTGAGGAAGACTTTGGCAGAAACAAAACATGAATGGCTAAGAAAGCATGAAGAGGCCAGAGAGAGTATGCCTAGGGAAGGGACATGGACTGAACTGAAAGACACACCTAAGAGAGTCCAAGCAATGTCAATCATAAGTGCTGAGCATTCCTATTCATGCCATTTCAAATAAGGCTTCAAGATTCTTTAGGCTATTCTGTCTGTTGGTTAGAAATACAACTCACCTCACAGTTGTGGCTTATATAAGGAGATTTGCATAATAGTGAACCCATTACCATTACTGAATGTCTACTATATGCCTATATATTTATATCTAATCTTCACAAGAAGGTAAATATTAGAGTCACTGACTCAAAGCAGACACTGAGGTCTGCAGAAGTTTTTTCCCAAAGTGACA